AGACATGTCAACGAAGAAGCAGTGTGGTGCCATCGGTGTGATGTGTTGAACTGCGTGGTGCAAATATGTGGTGTAATTGTGACGTAGTGCAGAACGCGCACTCATCGGCAGTTTTTTTTTCTAAAAAAAAAAACTTGAATGAAAGGGGGGCGTATGTGATGTGTGGTGCGCGTTCAAAGTGCGCGCCTTCGAAAAGTGCGCGTCACGGAAAAAAAAAAAACAAAAGGAGAAATACCAGAGTGCACGTGCGGTGCTGCTTAAACAAGAATGACGACGTTAAAGAGCGTCAAGCACGAGGATGCGTGGCAGGACGTGAAGTAAACAAAAGGTAAAACATCCAATGGGCAGCGAACACGGAGATTTCAAGGCCCAATGGCTTGACACCACGAAACAGTAGTATCTCCAATGAGAACGAGACAAGTGGGCCAGAGCTGAAGCAGGAGCCTGGGGAGACCAGAGCAAGGGGAATTCGAGGCAGGCAGTGCAAGCGGAAGGTCGTCACCGGACCGGGCGCTGAAGATGGGCCGTCGGGCGTAGGACCCGAGCCTGCAGGTCTTCAACCGGCCGGGGCCTCCTGCCGTCGTGTTCCCGCTCGAGAGGACCGTGGCCATCCGGTCCTGAACTCCTACCCAGGGCCTGCGGACTTTGGTTCCAACGGGCGAGCAACAGCCGTCGGGCTACGGGCCCGAGCTGTGCGCCCAGCTGCTTGGCCAGGTTGACCCTGGTTCTCTGACGCGTCCCCACCAGCCTGCGTTCTCTCGTCACAGACGGGTCCACACTCCTAAAGCCAGAGCCACCACGTTCCGGCCTGGTTTCTCGACGTGTCGTCAGCAGCCAGCGTTCCTTCATCCCCGTCCTGCCCGCGTCCTGAAGCCGGAATCACCGCGTTCCGGTTTGCTCGTCGTCGGCGGAATTCAGCGTGTGGGTGAGACCGAACAGATATCTTGCGCTACTCCCATCACTCAGCCCCTTTCGAACGTTAGGTTTGGTTACTGACTTTGAACGTTTTTGTTGGGTGTTTACAGATGTGTTTCGTCATGTCCAGTCAACTGTATATTAAGTGTTTTGTCTTGTGAGGAATCTTTGTCTTTTTACTTTTCAATTAAACTTTTTGTGTGTTTCTTGGAAACCGAACGGCTTTGTCCTTATTAACAAAACTCTCTGAGGCTCAGCCCGGGAGAAAAACAAATCAGCAACAAAGAACCCTGCATCATCACACATGCCAAATTTCATTGCTGTAGGTCAACAAATAAAAAAGTGTTTTTCAATGCCACCTCCCCTCTTAAATGAAGAGGCCAGGAAAATAACATACATTCAACAAGGAGTTTTGTTTACTGAAGGATTAACAGGAATGCAAACTTCAAGCACGAAAGCAATCTTGTTTTAGTTTACCTATTTTATTCATTTGTGACATCCTGCATGCCTAAGTAAGGGCCCAAGCAGGAGGGGCTTAGGTGAAGCAGCAAAAAATAAACTGATAAAATAAGAAGTGACGTGGTAAGTATTGTAGCACTTGTTCTAATTAAAAAGCAATTTCATTTTAATTGAAATTCCTATTTAGTTAGTCTACTGCACTGTAGCCTTACTGATCAGCAACATCATCTGTTGCATAGCTGTTGCTGAAGTAAACTGGATTTGTGAAGAAACGGATATTTAAAACCTCTTCACCATTTTTCTATACTGTCTCAGATGACAATTATTTGATAGACATGTTATACAATACCTCGTTAACTCGAAGTTGTAAAAACCAGGGAACATTTTGAGATAAACGGGTTTTCAAGATGAGCGAAATTGCACTAATGTCGGGAAAAATGAGAGCTTTTCGAAAAAATCACTACAACTTTCCGCTTCTTCTGCGTCATTTCCTGATCTTTCTTCTCATGCAGGTTTAAAAAAGACAAAAATAACATACAAGACACTTTAACCAGCTGGGTTTTGCCTCTCTGACATTTTATATAGCAGAGAAAAACTGCCTATTGCTCATCTGTTTTGCGGTCGTACTCGGGCTTAGGAAGGTGTCCTCCAGCTTCTTGAAGCATTGCATCAGTCGATCTTTCCCGCCACTGTACTCGTCCTTATATTGAAGCAAGTACAGCAAATTTCTCGTCTTGGAAGATGTCGGCACCTCTCGAGCTAATTCATTAGCGCTGTGGTCTACGCCATCCCCTACGTTATTGTCCGTTTAAACTATTTTGGAGTCCGCCATTTCTCTGGTCACCGCCATATCCTGCTCACACAATGCGTACTCCAGAAAAGTCACGTCATTTTCGGCGGCACCATTACCTGTAAGCTTGATTTCCTCACAGTCGATGAAGTCATCTGTCTCGGCTGTCTCAGCCTCTGGCAAACTGGTGGCACGTGGAAACCCACTGTGCACAAAACAGCTGGCGATAGTCACTGCGCGAACTTGCTTCCAACTGTTGCTGAGGAGGTGTACTGCTCCCAGCAGGTCAATTTCTCAGCCTTTACCTTTTTTGTGAGACAACAAACTTCTGTAGAAAAGATTCTGGGTATATTTTTCGGGCCACTTCGTTGACATGCCGGTCCATCGGCTACAGCACAGACGTCATATTTGTAGGCAGAGACTCGCCTGTCACTGCCTCGAAATTCTCTATTTAGCAGTCGCCTGGGCAGTCTGTGAACAATGAACAGGACTTTCCTGTTTTTCTTGGCCATCTTGTTATCTATAGCTCAAATGTACTCTTCGAAAAGAGTAGCAGTCATCCACGCTGCTCTATTTGCGCAATAGATAATGCCAATCGGCAGCCGGGCATTTCTAAAGCACCTAGGCTTAAGAGCTTTTCCAGTTGTGAGTAATGGCAACTCCTCTTCACCTGTATAATTTGCTTCAAAAAGGACAGTCACCCTGTTTTTTCGTTGTTTCACTCCCGAGCACGCTCTACCTTTCGGTGTGAAGGTGCAGCTTGGCAACATTTGATAAAACATTGTTGCCTCGTCAAGGTTGAAAATGTAGCCGTCAATGTAACTCTCCCGCAACTTGGCGATGTGGCTGCTGCGCCAATTGTTTGTAGTGGCTGCGTCGACAGCACCACTCTCGCCGTGCACTGACTTGTCATTTCACAATCATACTATCAAAGCCGCTTCAACGTCTGGGAACTTCGACCCTCAAACCTGCTTTCGCTGGCTGGAAAAGCTCTGCTGAAATCCATCCAGCACCTTCTGCTTGTTTCTCAGCACCGTCAAAAGCATAGACAAAGTGATGTGGAATTCCTGCGCAATGCTCGATTTCATTTCGCCTCCTTTCTCCACTTCCTTGATTAAAGAAACTTTCTTTCTAGCGTTCGCGACTTGTACTGCTGTGACGCCATGCTTGCCGCACTCACGTTAAGTTGACGCACCTCACAGTTAGCGAAAAATCCGTACCGCTCTGTTTGTGCAGATGAACGGAAATTGCACCTCAGAGAAAGTCACGAGCACTACACTCACAGTCCGCAAAAAATCCGTACCACGTACCGTATTTACACGATTGTAAGACGACTCGAATGTAAGACGGCCCCCCCAAAATCGCATCTATAAAAAAAAAAAAAAAAGAACGCGCGCATTTTACACAAGGGAAATTTATTCACGTGGTTGCGGAGGATTATTCATCGTCGCTGGAGTCGTCCTCGCTGGTGCTGCTGCCGTCATTGCTGCTGCAGTCCCACAGCACGTCGTCGTCAAGTGTGAGTCCACACTTCGCGAACGACCGCACCACGGCATCGCGTAGGACGGCCGCCCATGCGGAGAGGACCCACCCGCACACAGTAGCCAGGGAGGCTCTCCTCACACACCCGCTTGGCGTAAGTTCGCGGCTTCCTGACGAAATCCACTCGTTGTATTCGCGGCGTAGGAGGTCTTTAAAAGGCTTGTTGACCCCCACGTCGAGAGGCTGAAGCTGCCCCGACAAAGAGGAGCTCTTCCGTCAACTACCAATACCCCCCTACGGCGGCTCTTCCATCGATTACCGGTGCTCCCTCAAGAGTTGTGCGCTCGTCATAAAGGCACTCGTAATGCGCGCAGTAGATGCTAAAAAAAGAAAAGCTTTTGTATAAGCACGCGGAAAACTATGCGCTTTGGGTTGAGCGGGAAAGTATTCGAGATGACAATACATGGTTCGATTTCGATATTAAGGTACATGGTTCGATTTCGATTCTAAGACGACCCCCCAACATTGAATTGTCAAATTTGAAAAAAAGGGTCGTCTTACAATCGTGTAAATACGGTAGTTTGCGCAGATGAACTGAAATTACACGTCAGGGAAAATGACGTGCGCTGCACAAAGCAAACGAGACAAACTATGGCAAGCGTGGGCAGAGGGCCTCACTGCTCAGCGCATGTGTCACGTGAAGTGCCACAGGGTTGCTTGACAAAAATGATATGTCGCTGGGCTGAGATTTCACATTCACATATAGCATCTACATAATGGCAGGCACGGCTAAATAAGAAAAAAAATTGATGGACTTCAGGCATGGCAGCATCGCGCAAGTCTTGTGAAATGATTTGTCGGCGGAGTTTTGGTTTCACTCCCAGTCAAGATTTAGAGTTATCCGCAATCCGACCCAAAAGCACTTTGAGGTAGAGGGAAAAATATACATGGGATGTATGGAAAAATCTTTGCTGCAGGAAAAAGCTCCTACTTGGCCGATTTTTCGAGATATGCGAGTTCGAGTTAACGAGGTATTACTGTACCACTCATTGTAATAATTGTAGCCTTGAATTTGATGTATACGGTTCGCCTGGCAGTAGGTGTAAAGGGTAATGGCGATGTTCTTTTGGAAGTACTGGGAAACATTGCCTAGCATTTCTTGCTGTGACTGGCATGCATTATAGTAAATAAAAAACTAACCGTGCATAGCTTAAATCTGACAAAAAAACAAACAAGCACTGCAGGTATTACTAATTCAGTAGCATATATGTAAAGATGAATCACAGGTTCACCATGCATAGTGCTGCGTCATCAGTCCATTCATGTTCATCAATCCTGAACTTCTTTCTTGCAGGCCACACTTACGTTCATCGAAACTGTGCTGCATGGTCAGAAGGTGTTTGCCCCGGAGAAGATGACAGTCTCATTCACGTTGACAAAGCTGTCTTTTATGGCATGTCCCAGGTATGAGTTGGCCTTTAAGTGGTTCTGATAAAACCCTCTGAGCCTGGCGATTTGCCGTATTATTTGCAGTGATGTACCGTAATAGTATTTGCGAGGATTTTTTCAAGTAGTGCTGTAATAGCCGAGCCCTATCAGAGCCATGCGAATCCCACAGTTGGGGGATTGGTCTGTGAGACCTGAACTGTTGCATAGGCATTGGGTTCTTTTTTTTTTTCTGTTTTCTTGGCTGCTAGTTTTGTTTTGTGTTTTATGTGACATCCCGGGACAACCTCGTCAAAGACAAAACAAAAAGAAAACTGCCCCACAAAGCAGGCTTGGCTGTTTCGCACAGGCAAACACACTGAGCAGGGTGTTTAGCCTCATCTAGGCCCAGTGATCTTAACCCTTGAGTTCAAAGAGCAGAGACGTACTTACTAAATATCTAGAGTGTCATGGGGCTGAGACTTTCCCTGAACTTCACCAAAAAAATACACTAGATTTAAACCTCATTATAACAAAGTTGCGTCTTACACGAAAATGAGTTGTTACACTCAAACCTCATAACGCAACAGGATATAATGAACTAATGGATATAAATTAAATTTCCCTTTAAAGCTCCATTAAGAAGCATGCATATTAAACCTCATTATAACCAAGTAAAATTGATCGCTAAATGGATATAATAAACTAAATTAGTCTATCAAATAGTCTATCAAAAAAAAAAAAACTACGATAGTGTATTAAGTACAGCCGAGCCCGCCTATAACGGCCCCACTTAAAACGAACTTTCGCTTATAACGCACAATATCCGCGTGACCATGAAAATATACATTGGTTCAATGGCACAAAATCGCACTTACAACGAACGTCTCTGAGCGCCGCTGATCAATTACAGCCGCCGACTTCCCGGGAAACCAATTTCGACCACTCATCAGGAATCGGAGAGGTGCGCATACATTCCTATTGTTAAACGCCAACCCTGCCTCCGCGCCCCTCTAGTTGCCGCTCTCCCCGACCGCTTCTTGTTACGCACCCCTCCGTCCTTTGTCCCCCTGATACTCTGAGCACCCCTTATCGACAGACGAGGCCCATGTTTTCACAGTGCCACCGGTCTCTCGAAGACCGGTCGGCCATCTACCCTGTTTTTGAACGCCGGTACTGTCGGTGGCGTCGCGGACCTGGAGTTACCAGACCATTTGCCAACATCGTCGGCCACCGACTGTATTCCGATAGTCTGCGCCTAGTGCATGCGCGTACGCTACCCCACCGACTCTGATAATTTGCCATTCGTTTCGTGTTTAGGACTTGTTCTTGCTCACTTCGCACTCAACTCAGCATGCCTTCCGCGCGCATGCGGAACCGCGAAAACGGCTGTTAATCTGCACGGAACGAATCACGAAATATCGAAGTTCGTGAGGCCACGCAAACCCGCCGGCGCAACGAAACGATTTTTTTACTACGGCCACTGATTCTTCGAACACCGCCGCGCACACCGATTCAGGCGGCCATGCGCTCTTTCCAAGTTTTTCTACTTGCGAGTTTCGCGGACCTTTCAAGCAAGCTACCCAACCTCCCTTCTTCCCGTGTGCTTTGGTTATCAAGGTCGCCCTCCCGCCGCATCCTCCCCTTTCTTTATCGCAACTTTTTGCCCTTCTCTCGCAAGTCTGCTCACCTCTCTTGATCCCAACCCCTTCGCCCGTCTCCACCGCTTCGCGACGCCCGTCACGCTGGCTCGAATTAGTTTCGTTTTCTGATTGGAAATGAGCCCAGAGCTGTTCCACGCGCTCTGGCATGTGTGTCGCGTGTGCGCGTCTTGCTCGCTCTTGGTGTACGTGTGTGTCACGATGGCCGACGGGAGAACTAGCACGCTTTTTCGTGCCGCTCAAGAAAACGTCGAAAGTGTGACCACTTGGCTTGAGCGTAATCCGCGCGTTAGGTGCCACGTTGCGGAGGGCTTGCTCATAGCTGTTGACCACCTGTCAGCCAACTTGCCGCTTCGGGAATCTCTATATTCAGCTGTGGAGATGGTGAATATTTCGTCGGCGGTGGTGATGGCTACATGCGCGCAAAACTGCTCTCGCGAGGCCGACTTCATCGACGTCGGGCCTGATTCTGAGCCTGAAGCTTCCGAACTGCGGTGGTGATTTGTGGCAGCGCGTCGTCGACTCCGACCTAGGAGAGCGGGTGGGACATCTGTTGCGATGGTGTAATTACGGCCGATGATGGTGCCGACACTGCGGAACCGTGCCCGGATTGGGGCATTGCGAATGAAGTACGTGGCGAGAGCGATTTGGAGAAATCGGATTGCGAGAACGACGAAACTTTGGAGCCAGTGCCTCATGCAGCTTATGCCACGGGCCTCGGCGAACGAGCACCCTGCCGTTTTAAAACTCGAGACCGCCCTTATCGCTTCTGCTATTCGAAACACGTGCATCACGGACTTTTTGGGGCATAAAAAGTTCGTGTTTTCACTCGCAAATTTTTTTAAAAGCTATGTTTAAGTTACTACGAACTTCGGGATACAGCGAACGGATGCCGCGTCACGCTCAGGTTTGTTATAAGCGGGCTCGACTGTATATCATTTTCTGCTGAGTTTGACGCTCGTTCGGCGCGTCTCTTTGAAAACTACTGCGCTGACCTTATGGCCACGCCACGCGCACCCGAGAGAGCCGTTTTCTTCACACAGCCAGGGGAGAGGATTGAGTAAGCGCTCAGCGGGTCACATGACCGAGAAGCGTCGCCGCGGTGCAAAGTGATTTCCCTCTCTGTGCTTTAAAAAAGACGGCAACAGCTGCGTCTCCGCTGCTACCCTCTGCATCGAGAAAGGAGGACTCTCTGTGACATGCCCTGCCTCGCCTTAAATCTGGCCAGTCAGCCATTGCTACGGAAGAATGATTACACACGAAGTTAACTTTGCCAGCCATTGCTACACACGAGGTTGTCATGGTTGAGCTGCGAGGCAAAAATTAGGGCCTTCTCCACAAGAAGGGTTCCGCTGATAGGCAGATTTTTCGACCGTGCAGCTTTTAGCCACTTCACCAGCACCTCCTTTTCATCCAAAAACGACGAACTGCGTAGCCGGCACCTTTCTTCATTTGCTGCAGCACTGCCAAGCAATTTCTCTCTGGAATTCCAAATTCCACACACTGTGGTTAATGGCAGGCCATTTCGCGTGCCAGCACTGATTTTTTCGTGCCAATTTCAATAGCACGAATTATGTCCAGTTTCTCTTCTATTTTCAGTACTCGATGCTTTTGTCCCAGCTTCGGCATGACGCAAGTACGAAGCAGCACAAGCACACATACACAACACGTGAAAAACAACGCGAGAGCTGTACAGCAACAACCAGAGAGCATGTATACACGGCACCAAAAGAACAAAGAAAGCAAAACAAGTGCATACCGTGTTGGATGGATGGATGGATGGATGGATATGGCTGTACCCTTTAGATCGGGCGGTGGCTGGCGCCACCAAGCCGTAATACCTAATGAACCAAAAACTATATTTACCGTATAGTGCGGAATATAGGTCGAGATTTTTTCCAAAAAATTTCGCTAAAAAGTCACCCCTCGACCTATATACCGGCCCTTGGCATAAACAAAGTGATCGTCTGGCAACAGGGAGTGTCGCATGTTTTTTGGGCATCAGCATCGACATCGCCTCCATGGGCCGACGCCTCTGCCGACGCCATTTTTCTTTTCTTGTTCATTTCGTGTTCGTAGAGAGTGGCGACTTTTACTCTGCGACCAGCTATGAATACCGGGACGCGGCGCCAGTTCACCGCCGCGTTTAAAAGAAAAGTTATAGAATTCGCGGAAGTGAATGGCAACATGGCGGCACAGCGGCAGTTTGGAGTGTCCGAGAAAAGCGTCAGATACTGGCGCAACCAAAAATCCAAACTGTCAGTGTGTAACGCGAGGAAGACGTCGTTTCGCGGTCGCCGAGCTGTGCACCCGGAACTCGAGGACAAAGTGGCGGATTTCGTCCGCGAGTACCGTGCCAAATCCCTTCCCGTGAATGCGGAGCTCATTCGCTCAAAAGCCGTCGAGCTCGCCCGTGAAGCCGGCCTGTCAAAGAAAGACTTCAAGGGATCCATTTATTGGGTCCGTCGCTTTATGCGACGCAAAGGATTTGCGCTTCGACGGCGCACGTCGATATGCCAGAAGCTGCCGGAGATGTACGAGGACAAATTGATAGAGTTTCAACTCTATGTGAACAACCTCCGGCGGCAGCATGGCTACATGCTAGGCCAGATCGGCAACGCCGACGAAACGCCGGTGTGGTTTGACATGCCGTCGTCCACGACTGTTTGTGAACGCGGGGCAAAAGAGGTGAGGCTTTTGTCGACCGGTAGCGAGCATTCGCGCTTCACCGTTATGCTTTGCTGCACGGCCGACGGCAGAAAGTTGCCCCCCTTCATAATCTTCAAGCGGAAGACGATGCCGAAGGAGGCCTTCCCGCGGGATGTCGTCGTCCGCGTCAACGAGAAGGGGTATATGGACGAGGCCCTAATGCGCGAATGGATCCGCACAGTGTGGAACCGGCGGCCCGGAGCCCTCCTGCAGCGCCGGAACATGCTCGTGTTGGATGCATTTCGCGGGCATTTGACAGCATCGGTGAAGGAGAGCCTTCGCGACGGAAGGACGGATCTTGTCGTCATTCCGGGAGGAATGACATCAACACTTCAACCGTTGGACGTCGTCCTCAATAAACCTTTTAAAGACCGTGTGCGTGCGCTGTACACCGAATGGATGGCTGGCGACAACCCGCGGACCCCGACAGGCCGGCTGCGCAGGCCACCTCTCGCGACAGTTTGTGGTTGGGTCTCCGAGGCATGGAGGTCTCTGCCTGAAGAGATGGTGGTGCGCGCATTCAAGAAGTGCTGCATCAGCAACGCTCTCGACGGCACCGAGGACGACATGCTGTGGGAGGCGGCTAGTGACAAGCAGTCGTCGTCGTCGGAGAGCTCCGACAGCTCGGAGGACTGTGAGGACTGACTAAAGTGAAGCAGTGAACGATTC